GCGAGGCTATGCCCCGTCCCATCCGAGATCTGAGGCAGTCGAGGATTCGGTCATGCGTGACGCACGCGTACGCCCAGCATACCAAGGCGGTTCCCAGCCCCTCTAAAAGGGATGCGATGGTTCCGAAGAAAGGGCACCATTTCTCTCATTTCTCTTGCGTTCTTGCCTCGTTTTCCGTGCCCGTGCTACCCCGAAGCCCCGATCACTTTTATCAAGTCCCAAAGGTTGTTTGTGCTCCCGAGATTCCCAAGAATCCCGAGGAAATCCACTTTCTCGAGTCGAAATTATGTCCGATTTTCATCTCGCCTCCTCCGATCTTTCAAGTGAGTTCATACCCCTATAATTCACACTATTAAATGTTTTATGAGTACTTTTATATGCTTTTAAAGGGGGGGGGGAATACAAGTAAAACATTCGATTATTATTGTGTGTTATATAAACTTTCACTATACGCGTTTTATCAACGGAATCATATGTAATTTATAACTATTATAGGGAAACTTCATATGCAAATTATACCACGACAACATTTTATCTTTTGAAATCAGAAATGATTTATGTATTTATATAAATCAGACACTCTGCTTATACTATATTTATGTGTGTCGGTTTTGGTACTACAAAAACTACACTTTTCATAACAAGTGAGCATTTTTACTAAGGATTACTATACAAACGAGACACAATTTTAGAAAACTATAATAGGTATAGTTTTACGAGAACATTATGAACTTTTACATACTAGAAACACTATTTCAAGAAGTTTACTTTCACACACAAGAACTAATGAACATTTTCATACGTAAATCAGTTTTATACTAAATTTTGTGAGACATTAACTTCACGTACGTTCGAGTACGCATTTCAAGTCCTGTATTATATACCAGAATCCCTTGGAGGGGGAGCATGGTGTTTGTGTATAGATCTATACGGGCTTGACAACCCCGCGCCCTGACTGTTAGCTACAGTACACCATTTGGGGTGACAAACGTCAGAACATTCCAACGCCTGAAGAACGTTGTGTATAGGCATTCGTTGTCAATAGCATGGTTATAAAACTCACATAGAGTATTAAAAACACATTGATTTACGGGGGTTTTCAGATATAATGGAGGTTTTATACATACATAAGTTCATTTATTTTATGCATGAAAAACCCAATTGTGATATAAGTTTGGAACTTCTAACCACTACTCATAGATGGAAAAACATCAACTTTTTTACATATATTGGTCTTGATTTAAGGCTACATTTATACCATTAGGAAAATGGGATTTTCTAGAGATTAACGAACAAAAACGAACCATTTCATTTTCATACAAATACTATCATTAAATGCTTATGAAACTCACCAGCTCAAATGCTGATCTACTCTTTCAAAACTACTTGTATGTCCCAGGGACTCAGTAATTACAGGTACTAAACAGCTTTTGAAGAAGGAACGTTGCGGCACTAGTTCAATTTCATATTTTGACATCATATTGCAATTGGTTTTGAACATGTACTCTTTTAAACAATGTAAACTTTCAATTATATATATGATGGTTGTATTGCTTTCTTTACTATGTATCCATTTGTTACGTTACCACATGAAGTCATCCGCCCCCGAACGTTTTCGCCGTTCCGGGTTGGGGGTGTGATAGCAATCCAATTGGAATTATTGCCATCAAAAAATGTCTACATCACTTAATATAATCAAATATACCATATAAACATGAAATTCAAAATTTTGGATTTCTAGGATTCATGAGGGTTTTCACACAAAATCCTTAAATCCATCAATGTGATGATTAGATTGAGATTGGGATAACCAAAACTACTCAAGGGAGGTTAGAAACCAAACAAATAATCATTTAACGAAGCTAATTTCGACATTTAGGTTTTATCCACTTCATAAACTTGATTTCTTGGTTAAAGGGGAAGAGATTATACCTTATAGGCCCTTGTTTCTTCCCTCGTTTACTTGATTGCTCAACTCCTCACTTGAAATAACCTGATATGGAAAGAATATGTAAAAATCGCCATGGGGGAGTTTTTGGCTACAAGATTATGATTAGAAGAGGAAGGGAGAGAGTGTGCATCTTATTTCCTACCCTTTCACATTTGACCCCTCAAGTTTACATATTTTGGATAAAATCCCCCAAACCTCAATATTTTTGTTTTTAACTTACGATTTGACATAATAAGCCTTCCTCGTCCATTTTTTAAACTTTCATAGTCCTTTCCGTTAATTGAGTCAACCATTTGCTCAACTCGCTATGTCAAATGGACACTTTTGGCCCTTTAACTTTTGAAATGTTATTATTTACCCTACTAACTTTCTAAACTTCATATCTACTAACGTTATGATTAACCTATAATTATTTATTTATATAAATCAAATTTCATTTATTTACTATATTAATTTAAGAACCTAGTCTTAAATTTTAGGATGTTACATTACCAGGGCATTGTAATGCCACGTCACCATAGCATAGCCTTCATTAAGGCCATGATGCGGTGCCACAATGGGATCAAAATCCTAGCCACGGATCTTGAGCCCTATTTAAAAATGGGGCTACGATTTCCCCCAACCCCTACCTCTATCTCCTCCATAAAGATTATCATCACCACTATCCTCCACTGTTGAGTATTGGGCTTTTGACCTTTTTTTTTTGTGAAGCTTAGTTTAGAAGAAGCTTTCTCTTGGTTCAAGGAAGTAAAGGTGCAAATTAGATCCAACATTTTCAACACATTTTTGGTACATTTAAGGTATAAAGCTCCTAACTTGATCATCATTTCATTTGATTTAGTTTATTCCACTCTTATGAGCCTTTTGTCTTCTAGACATATTTGATTGAAGAAAAAGATATTTTCATGTGCTAGCCTTGAGTCCATGCAATTGGTATAATCATTTTGTTCTTAGGGTTTAAGATCATGACTTTTTGGGATGTCCTAGTGGATAAAGTTGGAACCTTTATCCATTAAGACGTTTAGAAGAATGAGATCTGAGCTTTTGATCTTTGGAGATTAAGGGTTAAGTGCCTAACCCATGAAGCTATTTTGGGTTGTGGTCACGACGTAGTAATGTGTAGACCATGGTGCGGTAGCAGTTTTATTCGCAAGTATTCTATCTTTTAGCCACAACGGTGCGACCATGGTGTTGTCCACGACAAAGGTGACCCAACTCTTGACATTAACCGTTGATCATTGACTTTTGATTGGGTTGAATTTTTGTGAACCTTAGGGTTTTAGGTTGTAGATTGAGGTTCGATCTCTAATTAATGTTTGGGTGGTTTCTTGTACCAGCCTTTAGTTTTCTACAGGATGTGGTGTTGTTTGCTCGATTGTGGGCTGAGTTTTCTCACTATACTGTATATTGTAGTATGTGTCTTAGTGAGATAGGATATGGTTAGATTGTAGTATGCTATTAAGCAGGTAGACTTGTAGACTGTTATCTATAATGTTGTGTTGTATGTTTATCTAAATTATACATATGGCGATATATTTGTGATGGGATGAGGCATTTAGCTTTATATGGATAGCCAAGATGCGAGTAGACTAGCTTTATGCTAAGGGTCATAGGATGAGTTGATGACAAGATCAACATTAGGTATTGGGAGTCTATACGTTCATGATGGTTGAGTTTATGGAAAGATCAACTAAAGTATTGTGAGTCTAGATACTTGTTGGGTTGGTACAGACTCGTTACATGTATGCTTGTATGTATATTGTTATGTGCGGTATTTTAGAGAACTTTGAAGTGTTAAATCAATCAATCATATATAAATGAGATTTAATACAAACATGAGATGTAAATAAGATCTTTATTCAGCTCATATTATCCAGAGAAGTACAAGTACATTTTATAGAAAGTAAGCATAATTGCAAAAGTTGCAAAAATTGAAAATGACTTAGGTACCTAAACTATTTATAGTGTACTCAACGGATGCAAAATGTATAACATGACTTTGATAGTTAAAGTGAAACAACATATGCGCCTGATAAAATACATACAATATCGAAGTCATGAAGACCTTTGCTATTGAATAACTATTCGACACTATGACTACTACCTAATACTTCGATATATCACAATATTTGACTCTAAAATCTTCCCATTTGTGATCAATATCAAATCTTCAAACATTGGGTAGCGTCTTTATCAATTGCAGTAGAACTCTTCTTATTTTCATGTACCAAATGAAAATCTTCCTTATCTTCGCTCTGTCTTCATTTGAATTCTTCTTGTACTTGTTGATACGGAGAAGGAAAATGGGAAAGACTCTAATTTGAATATCTTTCTTTATCGTTAGTTTGGAAGAATTATTTCTTTTTCCCTCATCTCGTGTTCTTTACTTGAAAGACAACAACTGGAGGTTGATTGATGATTTCACCATCTTCATAATCATCAATACTTATTTTCCCTTTCAACAATGACTTAGGAAGCTTTGGTTTCTTCTTGAAATGAGTAACAAACTCAAAATATATTAAATCTGGATGAGTAAAATAATAGTCTAACAAGCATTTAATGTGACTATACCCAATGATCTACAACGCTTTATCTTGAACTTGATTGTTATTCAAATCTCCCATAATCTTCATAACAATGATGAGATCATTCAAGTTCGTCAAGGGAAATTCAACAATGGTGAAGTGAAAAATAACAGTTTTAGCTCTACAACTTTATATTGATAGGTTGGAATGACTCCTTCAAACATAAGATCAGGAGTTATCGATACAAGTTTAAAAATTTTCACTAATAGCCAAACGTTTTCTTCATTATGTCGAAGAATTGCATGGAAACTAATCTTCATACTTTTGAGCTCCTTTGTTTTATGAAAATTCTCAGCAAGTTTGAACTGAGAAAATGTGAACATCGAATGATTGAACGGAAAGTTCAATTGATTGAAATTTGTATCATTGATGGAATACATTCTCTTTGTTCATTTATCAAACTCATCCACTTCGCCAAACACCAGAGTCTCAATTGTTTCATAACATCACACCTTATTTGGATCTCACTTGTTGAGATCATGTGGGACATTCGCTCTCATTCTCATAATGATGTTAAGCTGCTTCATTTTCTCAGTTTCAAGATTTCGAAGTCTCTTTTTCTCTTCTTCAGAAGGCTCTAATTGAACACCTTTTCCTTTTCCATTTGGGTATGAGGTTGCAACAAGTTTAATAGTTGAAGAACCTAAGCCTCCTTCGTTTATGTTCAACCCCTTTTTCGATTAAAGTTTTTACATATCAACTTCGACATTTGGAGTTGATTTTGTTGTCAAAATTTTTAAAATAGGTATCATTAGAATTGAGACTGGAATTTGTGTATAAATCACCTTCCAAACAACTTTTCCCTTATCTTTACCTCCATATTTCGATGAACAGCCCTTATCTCCCCATTGTGACACAAGCATTGATGGGCGTGGAGCCTTAGTGGGTAATCGAAGAACAATATACAAGATTGGATCAAGTAAAATTTTAAAACACGATTCCACTAAAGAAGCCATTGAAGAGATTTGTTCCTGACAAAATCAAAGTTGTTGATGGAATATCAAACTTTGATAAGTGGTCATGAAAACCTGTAAGAGAGTTCTCAATGCTTGTGAAAAAATTTGTATCAAATTCATTCTTTGACTTCCACTCCGCAACATAATCTTTATTAAAATCACGAATGTCTTTGATTTATATTCTTGTAGATCTAAGAAGAACATCAACATTATGCTAAATTCCCAAACAAAATTTATGAAGCTTCATAAGACCAAATCAATGAAAGCTTTAATCTTCAAATCAATAGACTCTTTCGAAGAGTTTATCATTTTCTCAAAAATTTCATGTCTCTCCCTAGCAACATTTTCAACTTCTTTTAGACCATTTGTATAAGAAGTCATGTTGTTAGACAACCGAGTCTCCAACTGTGAAACCGCGTTAGCAATAATTTTATCATCTTCATTTCTTGACCTTTCAAAAAAAACTCAACATCTTCTTTACTTATTGATGACGTTGTAAAAGCAGACAAAATATTCAAGAACTAAAGAATCGTCTTCAGCTTCGAATTAAGGATATTATATTGCTTGCCAGACATGATATCATTATCTTCTACTTTTTGTTCTTCTGAATCAAACTCCAACTCAAAAAACTCAATATGTTCATCTTCTTCATCATTTGTCATAACATGATCAGTGGATTGAGAAGAGAACAAAGTAGTAATGGGTTACTGCAAGATATTATCAAAGGCATAAGAATGAAAAGGAACCATGGTAAGTGGAATGATTAAAGATGGTTGTGGTGACGAAGGTGGTGGTAAATAACTTGATGAAACTGGAACACATGTCGAAGGATTCTTACCTATGTTAACATTTAAGTCCTTATTAGATACGTTCTCAGTGATGTTCGAAGACCTATCCTCCTTTGTAATGGACTTGCAAATAGAACCTTCAAGTGGAATATGTTTTGTCGACAAATGAATCAAAATCAAAGTAGTTTCACAATTTTTGATATTTGTATCCACATCAGATGTGTGTATAGTCACATCCGGGTTGCTTGTCTCCTCGGTATTTGATTTGCATCCTTTCGTGGTGAAGCATTAAATATAAGATCATCAGTTTCAATGACCTCTTCATCTGGTTCTTCTCTATCCTTATCTCCTTCAATAGGGTTTGTTGTGGTGGAAAGATCTTCGGCTGTTTGAGCTCTTAGCTTCTTAAACTTTATCAACACACTTGTAGCCTTACGTTTCTTGTTCTGTTGAACCTCATCAGGATTAACTTCTTTGATGACAACACCTTGAGACTTCAATTTTGATTTATTGTTTTCCTTAACCCTTGAGTTGGAAACACCAATATCATTAATGATCTTGGACTTGGATGAAACTTTCCTCTTAACAATAGGAGAATCTTTGGTTATACCCTCTATCACTTTAAATGTCACTTTCTTGGGTATAGGAACTGAAAAAGTAAGATGCAAAGCAGCTTTGTATTGAATCAATAATTGGTTCAAACCAGACACCAGTTGAAGCATAGCATCTGGAATTCTTCCAACACTAAGAAAAACAACAGGATCATCTAATGCAACGTTAGGAATTTGAAGGTGTGAGAACTGAGAAACTTCAACACCTTTAAGAACCATAATTCATGTTTGACTATATGCTCTGTGCAAAATAAAACTCCAAAAAACGAGCACTAGCAATCTCATTAGACTTCTTTGAATGACTTACGTAGGATGTAAATTCGTCCCACTATAGCAAAGTGTAGTCAACCTTCATTACATAATATAAACTGGCCATAAGAGAAAAAAAATTGAAGTTTTGCCTTATCAAGTCCATAACTCCTTCCAGTAAAAAAAAAGTAACCTAAAGAAAAAATTCCCAACACTTGGAAGATTAGACTTCTGAAAACTGCTAATGGGTGAAACTAGAAGATTATATCCCATTTCATTAAACATCTGAAGTACATGTTCAGACGTAAGAACTTCAAACGAACCCTCATATAGCAATTGAAGAATATGTTTAAACTACTTCTTCAGTAATCGTTTGTGGCCTTTGGCTGTAGAATATGCAAGCGATGTCCAACTCAACGGAATTGCAAAACAAGACGTTAATGCATGATCCAGAATTGAATCATTCAAACATCGAACGAGCATGTTCAAATATTCAGGGTATGCAGATAACATTGGATTAAACCAAACATTGTTCATTTGGATCTTCATATTAGGAACAAAAACCTCGTTGTCAGTTATGTTGAAGTAATAGACAACGGTATTAGTAGTTTTCATACTTATCGAGAAGAGAATTTTGAATATGATCAATAAAATAGGGTTAGGGTTCTTGTGTGATTTCAGGAAATCAGAAAAGTTGAGTTGAACCATTGGGACTTCTTTTATAACTGACATGAAATTCAAATTTGAACCAATACCCAATGAATAATTATCACATGTAAAGTACAGAACTGAAGCGACATCATACCAATTGTCCACATATACACGTAATAAGTATTTTTCTCGAGAATGAGTTTCAAAACATTGATTGAAACTAGATCTTGTCATAAACTAGGCTTTAAAACTCCATTGAAGCAACAAGTCAACATGAAAAATCTTAATTAGACTGTTAGGTTATACTTAACTCAATCATTGGTTTCATTAATTTAATATGAGTAGGGTTGTTCAAAACCAGATATCCGAGATTTTGGATACAAGGTTTTGATATCTGAATCGGTAGAGCAACAAGATTAATTCTTGTTAAATACCAAATGGTTTCTATCCTGGCCATATCGAGTGTTGTCTTCTATTCTTGAGGTTAAAGGTTCAAGTTCCGCTTAGGACATAAATAAATTTAGGAGTAGTTTAGAAATAAATTAGATTTTTCGTTCCAAGAAACAAAAAACTTCATGTTAAATTATTTTTCGCTAAGCTTAAAACTTAGAGATGGAAAAGCATTAAAAATTTAATGTTCCTTTATGTAGCTTCTTTAACTTCTAAAAAGTAAACAATATATATATATATATATATATATATATATATATATATATATATATATATATATAATATATTATATATATATATATATATTATATATATATATATAATGGGATAGTTCATTGAGAGAAAAAAAAGTTGAGAACGAGGGAATGAGTCTATGCCACAGATTTCGAATATACCGCTTAAACACTCCAGCGTACCGGACCGACGGAACAAATCATTATATATATATATATATATATATAATATATATATATATATATATTATATAATATATATATATATATATATATATATATATATATATATATGGATAGTTCAATTGAGAGAGAAAAATGTTGAGAACGAGGGAATGAGTCTGTGCCACAGATTTCGAATATGCCGCTTAAAAGCACCAGCGTACCGGACCGACGGAACAAATCATATTTATATTTGAAAATATATGAATAAGTGTATTCATATATGAATAAGTATAACATAAGTGATAATTCGTATATGAATATAGTAGTGGTAGGTGGCGCCGGAGGTAGCGGTTGTTGGTAGTGGTTGGTTGTAAAGCTGGAGGTGGTGGTTGGTGGCGGGGGTGGTGGTTGTTGGTGGAAGGAGGTGGTGATTTCATATATGAATATATTTATATTTATATTTATATATAAATATTACTCATCCTCCGTTGCCCCGGTACGTTGGAGCACGTTGCAGCAGAAATAAATGATTGGTTGAAAATGATTCTCCTATTTTTAACATTTTCTCTCTCTCTCTCTCTCACTCTCTCTCTCTATCTATCTATCTATCTATATATATATATATATATATATATATATATATATATATATATATGGAACATAAACCCACATCGTTACCACGAATTTCCTGACCTCTCATATGAGATGATTATTCCATACCGCTAGGCCGTTGGCTCTTTGGTGGAAATGGGAGGTAATTGGGCTTAAGTCGAAAGTTTGAAAACTTGTAAAGTTTAGTCCTTCATTTTCAATATTTCCCCACTTGACCATTAAATGATCCCACAATTTGACAAACTCTTAATTTTAGTAAATTAACCCAATCTTACCAAATCATTAACATTTTAGACGACTAAAGTTAGTAAAGGAGAGCACCTTAAATTTCTTAAACTTAGCAATTTTAGTCTCTCAAAGTTAAATTTTGTATTTAACCGTAATTTAACATTCGGCCAAATTGAAAAAATGGTCCCTATGGTATGTATTTTCTCGAGGTTTTAGTTCAAACCTCGATTTTTTTTTGAGTAAATTACATGAATGGTCCCTATGGTTTAGGATAATTTGCGTGTTTGGTCCCTAACTTATTTTTTTAACTCGAAAGGTCCCTACTGTTTGTTTTTGTTACGCGCTTGGTCCCTGTCTTATATAAAAAGTCTATTTTTCCCTTTATTTTTTAATTTATTTAAATAAACACACCTTAATCTCACCCTTCTCACCTTACCTTACGTACCTCATCATTTTTTCCTATTTAAATAATAGTTTTTTTAGGTATGACAAGGACCAAAAGCGTAACAAAAACAAACAATAGGGACCAAACACGTAATAAAAACAATCAGTAGGGACCTTCCGAGTTAAAGAAATAAGTTAGGGACCAAACACGCAAATTACCCCAAACCATAGGGACCATTCGTGTAATTTACTCTTTTTTTTTGTTTCATGGTCTTTTTGAGCTAGTTTCGTTGTGGATTTTGTCTCTTAGTAAATTGAAATGACTTTAATACCCTTGGGGTATTAATTTTCTATTTTCTTTCATTTTTTAAAATCTAATACTTATTTATTTATTTAAACAATAAAAAAATAAGAGTTCTCATCTCTCTCTCTCTCTCTCTCTCTCTCTCTCTCTCTTAAAAAACTCATCCCTGTTCAGAAAAAGAAAATATGGTCACCAACGAGGCTTCGGACGATTGTATCTTCTGACAAAGAGGTTCCTGCGGATCTGAAGGAATGAGAAAATTGAAGTCGGCTACCACCACCTCTACCTTCGCTTCACTTGAGCTATTCAACGAAGAAAAAACCGTTGATCTGAACTCTAGCGAGTCTTTCCAGATCTGAACTTCGGCGAACCGATGGACCTTGTTCATGTAGATTTGAACTCTGCCACCTCCAACAGATCTCGTTCACGATGAAATGAGATATTCTTCACATACCTAGTGCTTTAGAGATCTTCATTCGTTTTTGTGTGAGAGACAGATAACGATGTTCCAGATCTGCGTTAGAATTCCACCTCCTCACCAGCTAATGGAGATCTAGGGGTTTCACTAACAACGATAAGGCGTTCCAGTTCTTCGATGAAGGGTGGTGGCTACGAAGGACAAGGTTAGGATTTCTAGATTTACAAATGAGATAATCAGCAATTAGGGTTTGAGGATTTGGAAATCGAAGAGGGAGAAGATCAAGCGTTACGCTTGATGAAAACTGAAGTGGGAGAGAGGGAAGATGAGGGCGATGAAACATCCCAAAAATATGATTCGAAAATTTCGTTATAAATCATTTAAGAAAGACCATAATTTATCAAACATCATAATAAAAATCATAAGTCGTGTATCTCAAAACATCATATCAAATACTGTATCAAAATCATATATCAAAATATCAGCGTAAATCATCCCATGCTAAAAGTTGTGGTGTGTGTCATGCACTCATCCCGAGCTCTTCCCTTTGCAACTGGAAATACCTAAAACCAAAACTGAAAACTATAAGCACGAAGCTTAGTGAGTCTCCCTACACTACCACATACCATACAGATAGCACATAACAACATACATTGAGCCTAGCCCGCTACCTCGGGCCCCGTTTGGCAACGGACGAATCTGGCATCAGGCCCCGCCTGGAATCGAGCCCCGTTCGGTATACAAATATGTTTCTACTAGTCCCCGCCTGTCTCTGGGCCCCGCCCAATATACACATACAAACAATAACATATAATCATGTTAGTACATAACAGTCAAACACAACACTATAACTGCTAGTCTCAAGGCCCCGCCCCTACTCTGCTAATAATAAGATATAGAACCCTGTCCACACGCAACAATGATGAGATACGGGCCCCCTCCCACACTCACCTCCCTACGAAGCACATACAAGTATCACAAAAACAACAAGTATGACTAATCATGCACTCCTTCCTCGGGTACCACCCGTCATCGAACCGTAGTTTGGAAACATAATATAAACCTTCCTCGAGCCTCACCCGACATCTGACCAAAATCCAGAAACATATAAGCTACATCAGGCTATCCCCAACATAGGATCTAATCCGTCATACACTAACATACATAAACGGGCCAACATTGGTGCCTTCGACCCTTTCCTACTAGAGAAAACTCAACTCACAACCTGATTATAGAATACCGCAAATAATCCTCTTGCTGCTAGCTGGCAGATCCCCGAACTTTTGATCTCTCGACTCCCCGAGCTATCATTACCAACATAATACTTAGTCAAAAACAGATAATGCTTCTTAGGGTAAAATGACCATTTTACCCCCGGTCAAAGTCAACACTCTAGTCAAAGTCAACGCTTGGTTAAAGTCAAATTCAACCATGAGTTGACCTAACTCGTCGAGTGACTCCCTTGAATCACCGAGTTCCCATGCTAGTCACTGACGGAACATGACGAGTCAACTCATCGAGTCCT